ATGTATGACATTACTACTCAGGGAAAGTAATAGTGTTTCTGGTTTCTGCTTAATGTAAAGAACACAAACAAGCAAGCCCTTATACTTCTGAACAAGCCAGAATAACTATTCCCAGTGTATTCATGATTATTCGTTTCCTTTTGCAGCTATAACAAATCACCATAAATGTGGTGGCTTAAAACAACAGAAATTTATGGTCAGGTACAGTGGCTCAGACCTGTAATCCCAACACTTTGGGAGGCCAAGGCAGGTGGATCACAAGGTCAAAAGATAGAGACCAACCTGGCCAACACGGTGAAGCCCCATTTCTACTAAAAATACAAAAATTAGCTAGGCATGGTTGCACATGCCTGTAGTCTCATCTACTTGGGAGGCTAAGGCAGGAGAATTGCTTGAACCCAGAGGCAGAGGTTGCAGTGAGACAAGATCGTGCCACTGTACTCCAGCCTAGGGGACAGAGAAAGACTCCATCTCAAAACAAACAAACAAACAAACAAAAACAATAAAAATTTATTATCTTTCAGTTCTGGAGGTCAGAAGTCCAAAATGGATCTCACTGGACTAAAATCAAAGTATAGGCAGGGCTGCAAACCTTCTGGAGGTCAGGGGAGAATCTGTTTCTTTGCCTTTTCCAGTTTCTAGAGGCTGCCTGCATTCCTTGACTCAAGGTCTCTTCCAATAACTGCATCACTCGTATCACTGCTTCTATTGTTACATCATCTCTTTTACTCTCTGGACTCACTTTTCACTTGTAAGGATACTTGTGATTACACTGATCTCACCTGGCTAGTTATCCTCCTCATTTTAAGATCCTTAATCACATCTGTAACTCCCTTTTTGCCATGCAAGATAACATTCACAGGTGCCGGGGATTAAGATGTGGCACAGAGAGAGCTCTAGTGTTGTTTAAAGCTAAGACACCCCCCAGCTGAGCTGCTGAGCCATATACCATGTGAAAAGAACAAGAAGTACTGGAACTGGTCATAGGCAGTCCTAGAATACAAAGGAGGGAGCAAACTTCTCTGGAAGTGCTGCCCTTCTGCATTAATGGTTAGTACTTAACGCGAATTTTAAAACTTATAATAAACGGTGGGATCATTAGATAAATCCAGGTCTCTAGCTCCCAAATGTGTTCTTAGAATCCCTCTGACAGACTGCCTCACACCCACCTCAAATGGAGGCTGAGAATTTTTGCAAAGTCAAACCAAGGTCCTGATCCAGACTTGCACAGACCACTCTGGATCAAGAAGGAATTCAGATGGCATAGGTCAAAGCAGAAAATAGATGCTCTGCCCAGGCAAGGTGCTTCCCCTTTTTGGTTTTGTTGTTGTTGTTGTTGTTGTTGTTGTTGTTGTTGTTGTTTTGACACAGGGTCTCACTCTGTTCACAAGACTGGAATGCAGTGGTGTGATCACAGCTCACTGCAACCTCAACTTCCCAAGTGTATTAGTCCATTCTCACACTCCTATAAAGATATATCCAAGACTGAGTAATTTATAAAGAAAAGAGGCTAATGGACTCATAGTTCTACATGGCTGGGGAAGTCTTAGGAAACTTAGAATCATGGCAGAAGGGGAAGCAGGTACATTTTACATGGTGCCAGGTGAGAGAGAGCAAATGCGAAGGAGGAACTATCAGGCACTTATAAAACCATCAGATCTCATGAGAATTCACTATCATGAGAATAGCATGGGGGAAACCACCCCCATAAACCAATTGCTTCCCTCCTTCAACACATGAGGATTATAATTCGAGATCAGATTTGGGTGGAGACACAGAACCAAACCATATCACAGAGCTCAAGCAATCCTCCCATCTTTCAGCTTCCCAAATAGCTGGGAATACAGGCATGAACCACCATGTTCAGCCCCTTTCTGTCTGTAAGAAAAAGAACTGCAAGTATGTGACCCTCACGGTGCACCTTTAAGAAACTATCTTATAAAAGCTTGAATTAACGTGTGCAGCTTTCATTCCATTGTGTTATTTCAGTCCCAATAAATACATCCTCATGAAGAAATGTTTTTTTTGAGACAGACTCTCTGTCACTCTGTTGCCCAGGATAGAGTGCAATGGCATGATCTTGGCTCACTGCAACCTTCACCTCCTGGGTTCAAGCAATTCTCCTGCCTCAGCTTCATGAGTACCTGAGAGAGATTACAGGCCCCTGCCACCATACCTCGCTAATTTTTGTATTTTTAGTAGAGATAGGGTTTTACCATACTGGCCAGGCTGGTCTCGAACTCCCAGGCTCCAGCAATTTGCCCACCTCAGCCTCCCAAAGTGCTGAGATTACAGGCATGAGCCACTGCCCCTGGCCGAAATGTTTTTATTTCTTAAAGGTTCTTTTATAGACCCTATCTAAGAACTGAAGTTAAAAATATTACAGTGCCCAGCGTGTTTCAAATCAAGTCAGCTATAGTCCTTAGACAGAAGTTTGCCTTAACAAGGTTTATCTCTGTCTAGATGTAGATGTTACTCTTTATACATGGGTAACACATGAATCAATGCATTTGTTACATGAATTTCCCAGGACTTAGTTTCATGGAATATAGAGTTAATAACATTTGTGCTTTTTAAAAACTTTCATGTAATGTTCCAGACAGTAAATTCTCGTTCCCCAAAATTCCTGAATCAGAGAACACTGTCACAGATGGCCTGCACGTATCAGGCATTCATTAAATAACTGCTGAATGACACCATAGGAACACAAAAATACATGAAGGCCTAAATGAAGCCCTCCTACAACAGGGTCAATCTGAGAAGTGTGCTTATTAAAAAATGTCACTTAATTCTTCTCTCAACAAACATTAAGTATGTAAGTTACATATAAAAAGAGAATTCTTCAACACCCAAAGTCTTATATGCATGCAAGTCAGGATATTATAGTGGCTGAAAGGTCTTGGAGACACTCAGACTTGGGGTGGAAATCTGCTCGTAATACCTGCTGATTATGTGACCTTGGGAAAGGTGTGTAACCTTCATTTGTGTTGCATCATCTCTAATAGTAAGATAATACTTTGGAGAACTGTTCTGAGCATATAATTTCAACATACAAAATGTTTACAGTCTCTGGTGCACTGATGATGATTGTGGTAATGATGATGAATGATGAGTTCCAGGGTTCTAGGTTCTCCTGGTCCTCCAGTGCAGACAACTTCTCTGCCATGTGAGGTCCCAAATGTACAGTAATTCAAGCAACATTCATAAAAACCATTAGTTGGTTTTTAAGACAAAGTTTTCTGTTTTGTTTTGTTTTTGAAATGGAGTCTTGCTCTGTTGCCAGGCTGGAGTGCAGTGGCGCAATCTCAGCTCACTGCAACTTCCGCCTCCCAGATTCAAACAATTACCCTGCCTCAGCCTCCTGAGTAGCTAGGACCACAGGCCAATGCCACCGTGCCCAGCTAATTTTTTGTATTTTAGTAGAGATGGGGTTTCACCATGCTGGCCAGGCTGGTCTCAATCTCCTGACCTCATGATCTGCCTGCCTCAGCCTCCCAAAATGCTGGGATTACAGGCGTGAGCCACCACGCCCAACCAACGAGGATTTTTTTTTAAACCATATCCTGTACTATTTTAATACAAGGTTATTTTTTTAATCCTTGCTTTAAGTAACTATCAGAAGGCAAAGAAAGACAGATAAGGTCTATATAACTTCAGCAAGACAGTAAATCTTTCCAAGCAAGGTCTGACATAGTAGGTAAGATCAGAAAACTGTAGTTTTCTCTACTAGGAAAAATGTTATTTCAAAGATATGAATGTAGCACATGATACCTTCTTTACCTTCAATTTAATCTTTCTGTATAGATTTACAGTTCTGCTATATTTATTTGTGGTCTGTATAAGACAGAATTCACTGAACTTCTAAACATGTCTGTTCCCCTTTTTTGCAACATGCTATAATGCCCACTAGCCTTTAGAAAGTTATTCCTTTCTATGGGAAGCTATACAACATATCCAATTTTTCATTCCTACCTTGTGAAATCCTCCTGTGAAACAGTATAGATTAAGGAACTAGCTCAAGAAAAATCACAGTTTATCACCATCAATAGTATTCCATTTGCCTGCCTCTTCTCATCCTAGGACATTCTTAGGACAGAGCACAGAAATGCCACTCAGAAAATCACGTTCTTCACTGAATACACCCCCAAATGACCCAGTAGAGGCTGGGAGAATGAATGAAGGAAGAGGAAGAAAGCTTCATTTCAACAGCAGTTGAACAGGATGAAAAATCAAAGGCAAGTTCAATAGGGTATTTCTAAGATAAGCATGTGAGCATTCTGTATAACGAGGATAATGAGGCTGTACCTACCTGAAGCTAAGATCTTTCTTAGACTAAACCAAAAGTCACATTAATGAATATCCTTTCATGCTTCAACATCTTTATCTCCAAAGTTTTTCAATTGTGGTAAATTTCTTGGTAACTCTCTACTATTCAACCAGACTGGAAGATCTTCTGAGTTAATCTTTGTGAACAACTAATCTAAGAACTAAAAGCTAAGTTCCTTTTAATTACTCTTATTTCTTCATGTTTGTGAATAAAAAACCTCTATTCATTTTATTTTGTAACAGCTCATCTCACTTATAAAACTTAGGTAGCCACTTTTTTTACACTGTATTATTCTCTTTCTTAAAAGGCAATTAATATCTGTCACTTCAAGAGACTAGCCATTTGCCTTCTAACACATATTAAATGACATGTTCAGTCCTCCATGTTCACTCATGCTTTGCATTCACTATTAAGGCTGCAAATCTGGAAACCACATAAGCCATCTGCAAAGAGGACTACACATGTACAGAAGCTGTGAATCCAGCAACTCTACAGACTTTTGGCAGAAAAGGGAAAAAACGCAAAGAAATTATCAGGGGAAAACATGTTTGAGATTTTCAGGCTTTTTCAGTGACAAAGAACTTACTTAACCACCTAAAACTACACCAAGAAAAGCCAGAGATAGAGTGAAATTTATAACCAGAAAAATGTAACACGAAATCACTGTACTCACCGTCTGATGGCTTCTGTCACAGTAACGCAGGCCAAAATAATCTATCTCCACAAGGTTTACGTGATGAAATACGTGGTCAAGGACAACGGAACCTTTCGTTGACTTCTGCAAAAATAATTCAGTTTTATATTTTTAACTGCCTTTTTGTTCCAAAGTAGGACACAATCATGGTTCTCTTCTTTTATTAAAGCTTCATTCACAATAGCAGCAATTTTATTAAATCATGGTTCCCTCTTTAAGTTTTGCCTCAATTATGAAGAAAAAATATGATTTAAAGCAAAGTGTATTATAGAAACTTCTTTGAAAAATAATTTTTAAATCATAGGTTTTAAATTAATATAAGCTTCTTTCTTCTGGGATTATAAATTATCTTTAGGACAAAATTATTCTTTTAATAAAGATAAACTTTTATATAAAGAACATCTAATAAATGCATCAAAAAAAACACTGGTTAAAAAGCTCATGATTCTTTTCATTTTAAAAAGCAATTTTCACCTACAGCAATACTCTAACAATGAATACAGAAAATATATAAAATTAACAATAGTCAAATCTTTTATCTTCAATCCTCAAATAATAAACTCATAGATTAAAGCTACTAAAGCTGATGTTCTGAAAAGCCCTTGTGAAGATATTTCACTTTATCTCTTTCACATAAGCACAAACATAAAACTTTTCTTTTGGCTGCTTTTAAAATACTGTTCTCTACCTAGAAAGCTAATCTCTCTTCTGTCCTCACCTACTACAATACAGGTTCTTTAAATTAAGATTCTTATCATCTAACATACTAAAAATCAATTATTCACACATGTAAGAAGCACTTCATCAGCTAGCACTACTTTACACACCACATTAACCTAGAAAATAATCCATTTTTATAGTACAGGTATAGATATAGCCTCTTCCTTTCTCTTGCCCCATCTCTGGCTAGTATAACAAGGTAATAAAAGAAATCCCACAAGAAGTCTCACATTATGATAATAAAGGAGGGCTTTTGTTCAGTTGCATCAGCCCTCAGAAAATTACCAGGACACATTTATCCATGTATGGTGAGCACTTAATACTGCACTGCTTTTAGAAAATGGATTGTTAACTTGAAGGAAATGTTTTTATTAAATGTACTATAAAATGGGCAATATGAGGTTATAAAAGTACACACCAGGAAAATACAGTTCTTGTTGCAAATTCCATAGGTATTTTGTTTACTTCTAAATAATTTTGGCTAACTTTAACTCGTCCCTTTTTCAAAGTCTATTAAATAATTTATGAACAAAAAGCCCTTCCATGATGAATCTTTAGGTTATTGGACATTTTCTGCAATAATCACAATGCCATATAGCCTGTAAATGTCTCTGTGCTCATGTACCTGTGTATTTCTCTGGGGTAAAAATCTTTAAGTGAAATTACTCATCTGAAGGATACATATACTCATAATTACAGTGGGCATTGCCAAAAAGACCATTACAACTCATTCAAGAAGAGTATATATTTTCCCACACCCTTGCCAACATTTGGATTGCACAAATTTTTTCCAATCTGATTGAGCAAAAAAAAAAAAGAGGGGGATAAAGGAATTGTTTTAATTTACATTTTCCTGACATTAATAAAAGCAAGCATTCTTTCATTTCCTAGCCTTTGAGTTAGGCATTCCCTAACCCGAAGTTTATGAGCAAATTCTCCTAAGTACTTCTGAATACTTGTAGAATTTTACTTAGTATACTTAGCTCTTCATTCCATCTGGAAATTATTTTTGTTCTTGGGATAAGGGCCTAACTTTGGTTCCAAATGGATAGACAACTGCACCACCACTTACTGAAAAAGCCAGCATTTCCCTGTTGATTTGAAACAACTTTATCATCTATTAAATGAATCCCCATTATTCCATCTCATGGGCTATTCCAGAACCAAATCCTCAAGATTTTAACGTAGATAGTTTAATTTTGTTTGATATCTATCCTTCTTTTCAAAATGATCTTTGCCAATTCTTAAACATTTTTCTCTACTCAGGGAAGTTTGGAACAAGCTTGCCAACTGAATAAATGATTCTGCTGGGGATTTAACTGGAATTAAATTTAACTGACAGATGATGTGGTAGAGGGAGGTACAGATACTATATTTACAAAGTGAAACCTCTATGTTTGTCTTTTATATCCTTCGAGGAAATTTTACACTTTTATTGGGGTCTTACAAAATTCTACTTAGGCTTTGTGGAAGGCAAATTTACCAAATGTCCCCCACCCCTGAAGATGTCCTGCCCTGACCTCTGGAACCTGGACAATGAGAATACCACCCCTACGATTGTGTTATGCTATATGGCACAGTTGACCTTAAGATAGGGAAATCACAGAAGTGGGCCTAATCACATGGGTTCTAAAAAGCACAGCACTTTCTCCAGCAGAAGGGAAAAGCAGGGGTAAAGTCAACTATATTCAAACCATGAGAAGAGTACTATAATGTCCTGTCACTTGAAAGACGAAGGGGGCTATCTGAGAAGAATGGGAACAGCCTCAAGGACTTGAGGGGAGCCCCCAGCTAACAGCCAGCAAATAAACAGGAACCTCAGTCCTACAACCACAAAAGCGGGATTCTGCCAACAGCCAACAAGGGTTTGGAAGCCAATTCTTTCTGAGCGTCTTCAGATAAGTGCTCAGCTGACTAACACCTTGATTTCAGCCTTGTAGGATCCTGCAGGGAAGCCAGCCATACCATCCGGGACTTCTGGCCTACAGACCTGTGAAATAATAAATGGCAATACTTTTAAACCATTATGCTTGTGGTAATTTGTTATGCACCAATAGAAAATAATACAGGATCATTCTTAGGTATTTTAGTTTTACTGCTATTATACTTTCCAACTGGCTATTGCTAAGTATTGGAAAACCAACTAATTGTCCCTATCAGTCTTATTCCTAGCCATCTTGCTAAATTCTTGTTAGTTTGTCTATGGAGTCTTCTCAGATAATCACTTTTCAAAATGCCTCTTCAAAATGCCTCCTCCACATTTATTTCTTCTTTTCTTACCGCATGGGTTAATTCTTCTTTTCTTACTGACTAGTTATTAAAAGAGTAACTAGAAGTTCTGAGAACATGTACCCCATCTTCTTCCTGGCTGTAATGGAATTGCTTCTAAAATTTCACTACTAAGTATAATGGCTGGTATATGGCCCTAAAACATATCTTTAATCAAATAGACGGTTCCTTCAACTCTGCTTTTTTGGTCTTACTCTGTTTTGGTCTTTAATCAATGACTATTAATTATATCAACTTATTTTGGGGAAACAAAATGAGTATATGATGTTTGTCCTTTCAGCTTTGAGTTACATTAAAAGAGTTTCTAATGCCAAATCTTCTTAGAGAAATTCCCATTTTAGTCCTTTTTGTTCTGGATACATATCAAACTATCTGCCTATGTGCAAAGAATCCCCCCTTGTGAGTCTTGGTGGAGCAGGAATCAGGCTCCCGAATAACTGACAGCCAGGTCACAGCCATATGATCTGTGGCTTCAGCCAAGGACTTACTTCTGAGCAAGAGTTTAGATTTAATTCATGGATTGGCTCCCAATAGTAAGGGAGTATCCAAGAGCAAAGGCATCCAAAGATGGAATCAGCTGTGGCAAGCAGTAGGAATGACTGATTACTGAGCCAGATTTTCCATCATTCTTATCCTTTTTCTTTTCTTTTTTTTCCCCCCCTTTTCCTGAGATAAGGTCTCACTCTGTTACCCAGGCTGGAATGCAGTGATGTGAAGTCGGCTCCCGGTGACCTCCAAGTGATCCTCCTGCCTCAGCCTCCTGAATAGCTGAGACTACAGGCATGTACCACCACACCCAGCTACAGCATTCTTGAGTTACAAAATAGGAACATTCAGGCAATCTACCACCTTCATTTTCTGAATATGTATGTTTTGCCCAAGAGACAGGCCAGTATCCCAAGTAAAAATCCTGAGTAACAATCCAGAAAACTGAATCCAACTGTATACTAAAAATACCATGATGAATACAAACAGCTTATCCTTTTTGTAAGTGCATCCTTGGTGTAAGTGTATCAAGTATGGATTCTTAAAGTAAATCCTGTCCAATGTAACTATGAAAGAATTTACTAGAAAGACACTGAGTATCTCAGAGGCTCTACAGACACCACACTAATGGTTACCCAGAGCTTCTTATGCTCACCATCTATCCACAGCCACTAAGCTTGGAAAGCTCAATCCATCACTACAACCTTTCACAGTTCTTTTGCCCATGTTTTGGACTATGGTTTTTACCTTCAATTGTTTCCCATTTGCCTTTCAGGAATTTTTCTTATCATTTCTGGTCCACTGAGACCAGATCGCACTGCTGCACCCCAGCCTGGGTGACAGAGTGAGACCTTGTCTCTTTGATCTAAAATTCTAGATCAAGTTTTCTTACTTTCCAAATTTTCTTACTGCAAAAAATGCACACACACCTTTCCTCTTACTTAAAAATATTTCTAGAATGCTGGCATATGAAGATCGTCTTCCATTTTGATCTAATCTCGCTTTCAGGTCCTTTCTCCCATCTAGACACAGAGAGAAATACACAGAGTAACTAGAGCAAATAGAGTCACACAACTCTACCTAATTCTTCTATCCCAAACAGCTAAATGAGAAGTGGTTCGTGAACAAAGAGGAAACAATTATGCCTGAAATTACATATGACAATGAAATGGTGGAGATTTAAAAAATATGTAAATCAAGTCTGTCTTTATGCAAACTATATTTGTACTATGTCCAGTAGAAATGTTAAGGTTTTCAAATAAATATAATCTATTTATAAAGCATAAAAAGTATCTAATACTCTACTCGCAAAGGTTATACACAAAAGCTCAGAAAACCAGCTGAGCAGTTTAGAAAGCATATAGAAATTCTAAAATTTTCATGCAGAGGAAGAAATCGTCAAACTTGAAAATTTTCCAAACAATCATCCCAAAATTACCAAAACATACCAATCTTTTGTGATAATTTCGCATGTATATAGAATCTGGTGCTGCAAATACTTTACAAATATTATCCTTTAGCTTCTTTTGTTACCCTCTATGGAGAAAACACAAGGAAAGCATCCAATGTTATGCTACAAATCCAGTGCT